TGTAGCACCGCCATATCGCACCAAAATGGGTCCCCAAAGAAGGTTAGGAATATACGTTGGGTTTGAATCGCCCTCCATTATTCGCTATCTTGAAACATTAACGGGAGATTTATTTTACTGCTCGATTTGCAGATTGTCGATTCGATGAGACACTTTTCCCAAAATTAGGGGGAGAAGTTGGTGAAACCAAACGGGAAATTTTGTGGAAAAATCCATCATTATCTCATCTTGATCCACGCGCCTCAATTTGTGAAAAAGAGGTGAAAAAGATTATTCATTTGCAGAGAATAGCAAATCAAATGCCAGATGCATTTACGGATATGAAAAGGATAACAAAATCACATATCCCTGCGGAGAATGTTCCAATCCGTATTGATGTCCCTATTGGATAATCTTCTAGTGTCATAGCTATTGAGTCAAAAGCACGCCTGAAACGTGGCAGACCATTACGTTCCAAAGATCGAAATCCTAGAAAAAGGAAAATAAATGATCAAAATGACACTACGAAAGAATCTCATGAAGAAATCCACAATTTAATAAATTCTGAGATTCATGAGGAATCCACTGAGCCCGAGACTCAAGAAAATAAGGACTATCAATAAATCCAATTGATATTGAGACAAATTTGAATCGAGTGGATATAGTAGTGGATTATGTCTTTGCATTTAGTGTTGCATCTAGCATTATGCAAGAAAGTGAGGATCTTGAACCTCAATCTGTTGGAGAATGTCGACAAAGACTTGATTGGCTAAAGTGGCAAGAAGCAATCCAATCAGAGTTGAATTCACTTGCAAAACGTGAAGTTTTTGGGCCTGTAATCCAAACACCTAATGGTGTTAAGCCTGTTGGCTATAAATGGGTCTTTGTACTCAAGAGAAATGAGAAAAACGAGGTACAAAGATATAAGGCACGCCTTGTTGCACAAGGATTTTCACAAAGGCCTGGTGTCGATTATGAAGAGACATATTCACTCGTTATGGATGCTATAACGTTCCGTTATCTCATTAGTTTTGCTGTCAATGAAAAGCTTGACATGCATTTAATGGATGTGGTAACCGCCTACCTTTATGGCTCACTTGATAATGAGATATACATGAAAATTCCCGAGGGATTCAAAATGCCTAACGCAAATAATTCAAAGTCCCGGGAAATGTTTTCAATCAAATTGCAAAGATCTTTGTATGGTCTAAAGCAATCAGGACGAATGTGGTATAATCGTCTTAGTGAGTATTTATTAAAGGAAGGCTATATAAATGATTCCATTTGCCCATGTGTTTATAAAGAAAACAACATCGGAATTTGTTGTACTTGCCGTATATGTTGATGACATAAACCTTATTGGAACTCCTATAGAACTCCAAAAGGCAATTGATTATTTAAAGAAGGAATTCGAGATGAAAGATCTCGGAAAGACAAAATTATGTCTTGGTTTGCAAATTGAACATTTGGCAAACGGAATTTTTGTTCATCAATCTACCTACATAGAAAAGGTATTGAAACGGTTTTACATGGATGGAGCACATCCATTAAGTACTCCGATGGTTGTTCGATCACTTGATGTGAATAAGGATCCATTCCGACCTCAAGAAGAGAATGAAGAGCTACTTGGTCCTGAAGTACCATATCTTAGTGCAATTGGTGCACTAATGTATCTTGCCAATACTACAAGGCCTGACATAACTTTTTCAGTTAATGTCTTAGCAAGATATAGCTCTGCTCCCACAAGGAGACATTGGAATGGGATCAAACACATATTGCGGTATCTAAAAGGGACTACCGATATGGGCTTATTTTATGGCAACAATTGCAGTCCCGATCTTGTTGGTTATGCTGATGCTGGGTATTTATCTGACCCACACAAGGCTCGGTCTCAAACAGGTTATGTATTTACCTGTGGAGGCACTGCCATATCTTGGCGATCGACTAAGCAATCAATTGTGGCTACTTCATCTAATCATGCTGAGATAATTGCTATTCATGAAGCAAGTCGAGAATGTGTGTGGTTGAGGTCTATAATACATCTTATTCGAGACAAATGTGGTTTGAAATGTGACAAACTACCCACAATTTTGTATGAAGATAATGCAGCATGCATAGCTCAATTGAAGGGAGGATTCATAAAAGGAGATAGGACAAAGCACATTTCACCAAAGTTATTTTTCACACATGATCTTCAAAAGAATGGTGATATTAATGTGCAACAGATTCGTTCAAGTGATAATATGGCTGATTTGTTCACAAAATCTCTACCAACGTCAACCTTCAAGAAACAAGTTTACAAGATCGGGATGCGAGAGCTCAAGGATGTGAATTGATGCTCTCATCAGGGGGAGTTAATGCGCGTTGCACTCTTTTTCCCTTACAAGGTTTTGTCCCACTGGGTTTTCCTTGCAAGGTTTTTAACGAGGCAACCAATAGGCGCATTTCTAAACATGTGTACTCTTTTTTCTTTTCTAGAAATTTTTCCCATTGGGTTTTCTTTTAGTTAAGGTTTTAACGAGGCACATTATCTGTTGAATAGACATTCAGGGGGAGTGTTATAAATAGCCTTCTATTTATGGTGAATGTCCATATTTAGCGAGATTCTAGGGTTTCTTACTTGGTGGCTAAGTCAACCTCTCCCCATAAATAGAGGGTTCTATTCCATTGTAATTCATCCCAAAATTCAATAAGAATTCCCTCTCTCTCTCTTTCTCTGCAATATTGCTCTTGTTCTTTTATTATTTTATAACAAAAACAACGATTAATAATTTATTTTTAGTAGAATTAAAATTTGGGATCTTGAGGATTTCTATAGGGCATCGTTTCTTCCTTTATTGAGTTAGCTAAATAGGGTCAACAATTGTTAGTTTTATGATTTTATGCTTTTTATTAATCTTTTCTAATTTAAATTATGCAAAAAGTCCTAACATCTAAAATTTTAAATAAATATTATTCGGGAGAACTAGGAGTATTACGTTTTCTTTTTCGTATATTTGCAAACGACAATTTCCATATAAAAAATAAGTTTGACATTCTTTCTTCTATAGGCTCTTATCTAAGGGGAGGTTTTTATATTGTTACTATTAGGTTAGAGGTTTGTACTTAATAAAATACTTATTCTGATTATTAAATGTAGTTTCAAATATTACACAAAAATCGATGAAGAGAAAAACATTATTCAATGACAAAGAAGTTCAAAATTATCTAAATCTTCTATATTATTATAAAATCACGAAGCTCCAAATCAAGATTTCTTTAATATTAAGAAAAAATAATTAAATATTTAAATTAACTAATTAATAAAGAATTAAAATTATTTTTTTTCAAAATCTTCATATAAGTAAATTTATTTTTCAAAATGATAAAACTTTGATACATAAATTTGTTTCCACAAGAGAAGTATTTGCAATGAAACAAATACAAAAACAAAGCAAAACCATTTACAGTATAATAGTAAAAGTTAAAGTGCTAAAAATGCAAGCTTGAAGCAATAAGAATATGACAAATAATACAAAAAGTACAAAAAATATTATTATTATTATTATTATTATTATTATTTCTTCTTCTTATAACCATTTCAAATATCCCCCTATGCTTATGTTATCCTTTATAAAGTATTAACTCATATTAATTTTTTTACGATTTTATTTTATTATTTATTTATCGAGATATAAATGGGGTTAACCTCCAACATGTTCAATAACTCAATACAATAACAATAACAACAACAATAACAACATATCTAGAGTGATCTCACAAGTGAAATCTGGGAAAGGTAGGATATATGCAGACCTTACATCTATCTTGTGTGAGGTAGATAGGCTGCTTCTGATGGACCCACGACTCTCAATAACTCTAATAAACTATTTAATGATATATACGTATTTTTTCAAATTATATACTCATTAATATAGGGTACACGCGCAAAGCGCGTACCCTTAAACTAGCTAGGGTTATATGTGTGTATTTGCTTGTCCCTTTTTGCATTAGAAGACATAGACATTATTTGCAAACTAGTCTCTTCGTTCACTTTTACTTGGCAGGTATACTAAAAATAGATTTTCATTTTTACTTGTCACTTTTACGCATATCAAGAAGATAAATATTTTATCTTGTTATACCCACAATATTTATTACTCATTTTCAAATCATTTTCTCAAATCCAATAAAATATGCATCAATTAATATGGGTATCATGGTAAATTATGCACTTCATTTATTATTTCTTAAGGGACGTGAAAGGTCAAAATATGCCAAGTAAAAGTGAACAGAGGTATTAATATTTATTTCATAATTTTATCTATTATTTCAAAATTTAACTTGAAATAAGGAATTTAATATTTAAAATACATTTTAGAGGAGTATTTCCAGTTAGCTATGCAATGTATTTTGATTGGAAGATAAACTTTAACAATAACCTCATCTCATTAAAAATAAGGTAGACAAGATAAATTATTTTTAAATATGGAAAGGTATCTTTTTAAATAAATTTAAAAAAAGTGTAATGCATAAATTGGGATAACAAGAACAACATACCTGATATAATTCGACAAATGTGGTCTGAGGAGAGTAATGTGTACGCAGACCCTTACCTCTTCTTTGTAACGGTACAACAACAACATACCCAATATAATCCCATAAGTTGGGCCTGGGGAGGGTAATGCGTATGCAGACCTTACCCCTACCTGGAGAGGTAGAAGATTCTTTGTAACGGTAGAGAGGCTATTTGCGATAGACCCTCGGCTCTTAATGCTACAAGCCAAACGTTGCGTGATAGCTTGTTTCTCGATTAAATACCGTATCATTATCTAGTTTTCTTTTGTCTATATGGAAAAAACCAGGTGAGAAAACCTTGAAATACACTATGCCGTAATAATTATTTTATGTGATGCTTCTTCAAACCATATATCACGTAAAAGAATGTTGCATATTATCCTTGTTAGCAAACCACTTTTGTCTATAATCTCTATTTCTCCAGTATAAACAAAAATCAATTACTTGAGACTGGTACATGGAGGAACAGATTGTTACAAAAGTCACTCAGATTATAACCATAACTAGCAAATTCATCAATGATCAAACACTTCCAAATGAGATTTTCAGATATTTACAGCACTCTTAAGTTGATGGACAATATATTTGGAGGACCACCTACTAGTATGTTTACAAAGGGAAAAATTATTAATGCCAGAAAAACAAGACATTACAATCCTCTTCCTGTTAGGCAAAGGATATGACCAGGTTTCACAAATCAAAGTCATTGAACTTCTCATTTGGAATATAGAAATCAAACTTGACATCAACTGAACCAGAACTATCTCCAGTGTCTTTGTACTCGACATTAGTTATCGTTCCAGTTGGATCCTCTTCTTGGTATTCTGATTTTACCCGTCTGACTGGCACTGTGACAGAGTAAATCGTCCCTAGATCTGGATCCGTCGAGACACTCAACTGTACTTTATCCTGTGATTCTATTTCCACAAAATCAGAGAGAGCACTAACGACGTTGCTTACAATCTTCTGTTTTGCCTCATCGCTGACAGCGCATCTATCAGAGAAGAGAATCATCTTCAGGCGCTGCTTAGCAATATTAGCAGCACTAGAATTACTTGCTGAAGGGGATGGTGGAAACATTATCTTCCAAGCCAAGTTTAGGCGCTCAAAAAAGCTCATGTTGATAGCACTGAGGAGTAAATTATCAAATTCTTGGCTGATGGAACTTGTCGATAATTTATATTCTCCAAGGATCCCAAAAGGCCTCCTTGCTTGGCACCGCAAACTATGGCCATCAGATGCTACACGAGACCATCTAGGCAACACCTCAGTAGCACTAGATCCACCATTAAGGAAGGGACTAAAATCTACCTGCGATGTGCAAGAAATTCTTTTTCATTGTGGTCATGAATCATGATACAAACAGTGGGAGAACATGAACACAAAAAGTTAGGTACATCTTATGAAATTGGTTAGAAGATCTTAGGATGCATGCACTTTCCTACATATTGCACTTCACAGCTTGTACAACCATTATTTCTCAATGCTTACAAATTTTATGGACAAGATTGAAGTAACTGAAGTAATAAAACAAAGATAGAGATGCAGACATTAGAATCTATATCCGAGTAGCAGTACATAGTATACCTATAAGCCAATATTCGGAGGTACCATTCAAACTATAAAGATATAGAGGATGCACTTAAAAGGACATCGGCATAAAATCTTAATTGGGAGTAAACCTAACCATCTTCTGCTTCTCTCATCGTCTCAAGAAAACACAGATTTACTTTTGAAGCAAACAATAAGTTCAGGTGAATCAATAAATGCTTATATTGAATAAGCATATCTAATTAAAACTTGGAGATCAAGTAAACACTATTTGTTTCACACACACACAAATGATGCAAACATCGTCTCAAGAAAACACAGATTTACTTTTGAAGCAAACAATAAGTTCAGGTGAATCAATAAATGCTTATATGGAATAAGCATATCTAATTAAAACTTGGAGCTCAAGTAAACACTATTTGTTTCGCACAGACACAAATGATGCAAACATATAAAGGTGAATATTTTACACCTTCAGCTCATCAGGGTCCATCTTGGGCATAGCATCTCACACCTAGGGTTCGAAGATCCAAAAGAGGGCAAAGGAAAGTCGATAATGAACTAAAACTAGCAATCAAGGCAGCAACTTGCAGGCACCAATCGACGTGCTACCAGGGAGAATAAACCAGACCAGCCGAACTTGTGAATCACATCATAGGGCACAGTTAATCAATTCAACCATCCAAGAAGAGGAGACAGGGAACCAATGATTCAAGCACGACCTAATCAGCTACTCTAGTATGCCGTAAACACAAATATTCGGCACTAGAAGTCCCAACCCAATCCAATCCTCAACTTTGTAGTTATAGGGACAAGCATAGGTGTTATGAAGAGGTCTCGACCAATAAGATCAAAACTACATATTTAGGCCTGTCTAAGTGCCTACCGATCTACAGAGTACAGGTAATATGTCCATTTATCCGTTTTCTATTCATATCAGTATGAAGTATAAAGTAATATTATTCCTTATTAATAAAATATAAAGTAATATTATTTTATCATGCTGTGAAAGCTAAAGTAATTATATGATTAACATGCTTATTACCCTTGCAATTCACACACAGCCAGCTGATCATTGTTACTTCTGGAAGCACTATGGACCAGTTGCATTACAATCTGTGTAATAAGTAGTAACTACATGCCTATAGCAAAATCCAATACCAAAAAGTATTGGTTGGTTTATATGTAATGCTAACATGATCAGGAGTAAAACAATAGAAGTAAAGGCATCAAATTCACGTAGAAACGTGTTACTAATTGTTAAAAGATGCAATAACTAACCAAACTTGCTAACAGCGCAAGCACAAGAGGACTCATGCATTAAGGTAATAGGTAAATTTCCATGCGTCCTAAACAGAACGAACATCATCTCAAGAAACTAGCCTGACTATGTGTATCTAATTCAGCTCTACTAAACAGGTAGTGCAAGGAGATAGATTTAAAGCATGAGTGCAGATAAACAATAAGATGTTATCTAGAGCAGATGTCTACTTCCAGTTCCCCCTTGAAAATTTTAGCAAAAATCCGAAGAGCATTTATGCTCGTCAAAGTACTAAGAATGGCGACAGTGCAAAAATAAGAAGGAAGTTAAAATAAGAGCACTTTAAGAAGAATACGTAAAGTATTCCACATTGGTTGAGGGAAAGAGCTGTTGACTCTTTTGTATTTTAAATCAAGCATAATTCGAATAATAATGGCTTATTGTCTCGTTATATGGCCTTGGGCAAATCTCGCCTCACCAACTCAAGGTTCATCCTTTTTGTATCAGGGGCTGAAGGTTTATTTTCTTAACATGGTATTATTATTGGTTTACCCAATGGCCCCCATATTACGTTGTCGACGTACCAGATTCCCGACCCTGGATGTCACAAGGTGTGTGTAAAGTGTGCTACAGGCTACATTGGTTGAGGGAATTGGTTGTTGTCTCATTCAGTCTTGGACAATCTTCACCTCGTGAGCTAACTTTTAATGTTGAATTAGACCAAGGTTCATTTCCTTAACCAAAAGAAAATGTTGAATTGGATAAAAGGCATGATTAAGCTAGTGCCTATCAACTCTTGTTTAAAAGGAGGAAAATGAATTAAAATAATTTTGTCACACTCATAAACCATACTGGAACTATTATTATCCAAATACTCACACACCATAACATGTTGACCATTACTTGCACTTCAATTACTAAAGCAGATCCAGGATTATAAGTCAGTGTTGTCAAGTACCTACCACCAAACTCACAAATTCGTGAAAATGGGTTCAAACTAGGTATAAATATATACTTATACACAAATTGAGAAATACACAACAAACAATTTACAAAGAATTGGCAAATTATAAAAATGTTAAAGCTATGAATTAGGAAAAGGGGGTAAAAAGACAAACCTTAGAAGGAGGTAGAGAAGTCCGAAGAGGATTCTTGGGGTATGGAACCAATGTTGCGGAGACCCTTAAATCTCCTGATAATGCCATTTTTACTGATTGTTGTATTCTCCTTTACGCTCTTTCTACTTCGCTCTTTCTGTGTTAGGGTTGGAAAATGGCAATTTCAGGTGCTTCCAATCGGGTGTCGGGACCATACAGTAGAGCTCACCCCAACCCTACTCCACTCTTTATTACGACGTCGTTGTAATATATGTGTTGCAATTTCTTTTTTCGTTTTTCTTGGGCTATTATTAAGTAGAGAAATTCTTTCGAAGAAAAAAGAGATAAAAAGTGTTTTGATCGTTTAGTTGATGGATTAGATTAACTAATCCCAACATAAGATAATATAGCGTTTGATTAGCGGCACTCAAAAAATAATCGTTGCATAACTATTACGTTTGGTACGCGATATTGAGTAATACTCGCATTAAGTTAAGTAAAATATGTGTATTATAATGCGAAATAAGATTGTGTTGTTATAAATAAAGTGAATGTATATGGATGTTCAATTAATCCATCCATACATTCTATACAATGTGCTACTTGGATAGATGCACCTATTAATTCCTGGGATGTATCTAGTGAGTTTTTGGTGTATCTTGTATAGTATAAATAGGACATTCTTTGCCTATGGAAGAAGATACAAGAAACACACTTGAATGAGATAACTTTTACATTCTCCTCCTATACATCTTGTCTCTACTACTATATTGTTCTATTTTGCTCTCATTTCTTAACACGTTATCAGCACGAGGTTCTAACCAACTGAGGTTATCTGCTTCATCAGAATTTTATCTTCTTCCTAAAAGAGGTAGTCAGTTTCTTTTCCAATTCAGGTATACATTCCTATATTTATAACGTTTCTATTAGGATCTTCTTTAACCTGCAATTTAATTACCATATGCATAACTTGTTTTGAATATGATTATAATAATTGCATTGGTATGAAAACAATAAGTTTCGGTTAAATTGTTATTTCATTATACAAACTACAAAAGTTTAATCCTACACATAAATATATAAGTATTAAAATTGAATCACAATAATTAGACTAATTAAGTCCACATCCAAATATTCTAACAGAATATGCATTTAGAAGGAATTCTTGCAAAATTTTCGAAAAGTTTAAATGTGTCTTCAATAAATTTATCACCTAAATGTACAAACTAATTAATGACTTTAAGATTAACGACTTAACTATTAGATGAATCGTATTGAATGTTGAAACTTGTTAGAATTGATATCATCTAGTTTTATGCCTACTTAGCTTATTGAAACGTATTCTAAGTAGAACAAAATTATACTAGTACATATTAATTCAACTTATTTATTCTATGGAATTACACTTACATGTCTAAAGTTTTTGTGGGTAATATTAAACACTAAATTATCATTGCACTGCACATAATTATTTGTTTGATAATTATACATATAGAATATTTATACACGATTATGTACTGCACTAGATTTTTCATTGATAATAATATTTTTCATTCTAATTCGCTTATTTCTATGATAGTTTTCACTATGTCGAATTTGTCAAAGCTTGAATTTAGGCGCTTGACATCTCTGGAAATAACTATTTGCCATGGGTACTTGATGCTGAAATTCACCTTGACACTAAAGGTCTTGGTGACACTATTATAGAAGGAAATGAAGCATCAAGTCATGATAAGGCGAAAGCCATGGTTTTCCTTCGCCATCATCTCGATGAAGGGTTGAAAAGTGAATATTTAACCTTGAATGATCAATTTTAATTATGGACTAATTTGAAGGAACGATATGACCACCTAAAGGCCACGGTATTGCCAAGAGCTCGTCATGAGTGGATGCACTTACGGCTACAAGATTATAAGACCATAAGTGAATATAATTCTGCTTTATATAGAATAATTTCCCAACTAAAATTTTGTGGGGAACCTATGAATGATGAGGACATGCTGGAAAAGACTCTTTCCATTTTTCACGCCTCAAATATGGTGTTACAGCAACAATACCGTGAAAAGGGCTTTAAGAAATATTCTGAGTTAATTTCATGCCTTTTGGTGGCTGAACAACATAATGCCCTTTTAATGAAAAATCATGAAGTCCGCCCCACTGGATCAGCTCTATTTCCAGAAGCGAATCTGGGAATAATAGATCCAAAGTCTGAAAAAAGATAAAATAATTATCGTGGCCGTATAAATATACGTGGGCGTGACAAGGGGAGAAATAATAATCGCCAAGGTGGTGGTCGTTATAAACAAGAGAACAATAAGGGTTCTCAGAGTAAACCTTCAAAAGGCAAAGGTAATGTTTGCTACCGATGTGGTATGAAAAATCATTGGGCACGAATTTGTCGTACACCTGAATATTTGTCAAACTTTATCAACATCTATAAAAGGGAAACAAAATAAAGTTGAGACTCACTTGATTTTTCAAAATGATGTTGAGGTGGGTCCTATGAATAATCATGATAAAGTTGAAGCAAACCTTGCCTATAAAGATGATATTTTTGAAGGCCTTGCAGATATTGCTCATTTAGAAGCTGGAGACTTCTTTGAGCATCATAACTGAAGACTTATTATTGGAAAAAATTATAAGAATAAATGTATTTCTTTTCATGAAGTTCATATTTTGAATAAAACTTTTTATGTTGTCAGTATTTAATTTTATAAATGTAGTTTCTTTTGTTCTTAAATTTTTCAATATTACTTATGATGTATTTATTCTTCTTCTTGAAGAATATGAAAACTTCCCAGCCTTCAGTTGGCCGTGTGAATAATAAAGAAGAAATATGTCTTCTGGATAGTGCTACGACGCACGCCATATTAAGAGATAAGAGATATTTATCTTATTTAATTATAAAAGAAGCCAATATCATAACAATACCTGGTAGTACAAAATTAATTGGGGGCTCTGGAAGAGCGATTGTATTACTACCAGGAGGAATTATATTGGCTGTTAATGATGCATTATATTGTAGTAGGTCTCAAAGAAACTTGTTGAGTTTCAAAAATATTCGCCAAAATGGCTATCATATTGAGACCACCAATGAAAGAAAGGTTGAATACCTTTATATTACTACAATAAAAGCGGAAAAGAAGTATGTGCTTGAAAAGCTTCACGCATTTTTCTCCGGTTTATACTACACTAATATTAGTATAGTTGAATCACATGCCATAGTAACAAGGAGTTTACTAGTGATTTTATTATTTTGCATGACCGGCTAGGCCATCCCAGTTATAATATGATGCGCAAAATAATTGAGAATTCACATGGTCATTCATTGAAGAACCAGAAGATTCTTCAAACCAAAGAATTCTCTTGTGCTGCATGTTCTCAAGGAAAATTGATTATTAGACCATCAGTAATTAAAGTTGGAGTTGAATCTCCTGCATTTTTGGAACGTATACAGGGTGATATATGTGGGCTCATACACCCTCCATGTGGACCATTCAGATAGTATATGGTTTTGATAGATGCATCCACAAGATGGTCACATGTGTGATTGTTATCAACCAGCAATTTGGCCTTTGCGAGGTTACTAGCTCAATTAATAAGATTAAGAGCACAGTTTACAGATTATGCAATTAAGACACTTCGTCTTGATAATGCTGGTAAATTTACGTCCCAGGCCTTTAGTGATTATTGCATATCAACTGGGATAACAATTGAGCATCCAGTTGCTCATATTCATACTCAAAATGGTCTAGCGGAATCATCGATGAAACGCCTCCAATTAATTGCTAGACCAATGCTTATGAGAACAAAACTTCCCATTTCGGCATGGCGCCGTGCTATTTTGCATGCAGCAGCTCTTGTGCGGATCAGACCCGCAAGTTATCATAAAGTCTCCCCAATACAATTGACTTTTGGTCAGTAGCCAAATATTTTCCATCTTAGAATATCTGGATACGCAGTATATGTTCCAATTGCTCCACCACAACGCACAAAGATAAGACCCCAAAGAAGATTGGGGATATATGTTGAATCTCCTTCTATTATAAAATATTTGGAACCTATAATTGGAGATTTATTTACGGCAAGATTTGTCGATTGTCATTTTGATGAGTCAGTATACCCAATATTAGGGGGAGAAAATAAGCAGCTGCAAAAGGAGATAGATTAGAATGCATTATCACTATCTCATTTAGATCCTCGAACAAATCAATGTGAACACGAGGTTCAAAAGATAATTTATTTGCAAAATATTGCAAATCAACTACCTGATGCATTCACTAACCTACCAAGGGTGACTAAGTCACATATTCCAGCTGCTAATGCTTCTATTCGAGTTGATGTCCCGGTTGGACAATCTATAAATGCAAATGAGTCTAAGCCTCGCTTGAAACGTGGTAGACCAATTGGTTCCAAAGATAAAAATCCTCGAAAGCAAAAAGGAGCAAATGATCTAGGAGATCATAATATGGAGGTAATTGCTCAAAAAGAGCCATATGACATAACAAATGATAAGACTTCGGAGGAGGTCCAGGTACCTGAAAATAATAAGAATGAGAGATCTCAACAAGTTATGTCTCTACGGCAAAAAGCTGGAACCGAAATAATATTATTGTCGACAATATTTTTGCTTATAATGTTGCTATTGAAATAATGCAACAAGATGAGGATCTTGAACCAAGATCTATTTGATGAATGTAGACAGAGAAATGATGGGCAAAAATGGAAAGACGCTATCCAGGCAGATCTAGCGTCACTTGAAAAACGTGAAGTATTCGGACGCACAGTCCGAACACCTAAAGGAATAAAGCCAATGGGATACAAATGGGTTTTTGTGCGAAAACGAAATGATAAAAATGAAGTCGTTAGATATAAAGCACGACTTATGGCACAAGGATTTTCGCAAAGACCTGGCATTAATTATATGGAGACATATTCTCCTGTGGTGGATGCAATCACTTTCAGGTATCTTATAAATTTGGCAGTCCATGAAAGACTTGATATGCGTCTAATGGATGTTGTCACATCCTATTTGTATGGCACATTAGACAACGAAATTTATATGAAAATTCCCGAAGGGCTCAAAGTTCCTGAAACTAATAAAAGTTTTCGGAAAACTTGTTCAATAATGCTTCGAAAATCCTTATATGGATTGAAACAATCAGGGCGAATGTGGTATAATCGCCTGAGTGAGTATTTGCTGAAAGAAGGGTATAAGAATGATCCAATTTGTCCTTTT